TTTTTCCTTTCATCGGGATTGATTACTGATGATCCAAGGACTCAGGGAAACGTCAGTGACTTGAGTCACGACCATTATATGTTTCCACTATTTACATTATATAAGATTGTGCTTACCATTCATATAAAAAAATATGTGCATTGCAAACTTGAAGTGCTTTATATGACCTAAGTTACGATATTAGAAACTTAGGTACTTTGTCTGGTAAGAAGGTTCAAAACTTAGGTACTTTGTCTGGTAAGAAGGTTCAAAACTTAGGTACTTTGTCTGGTAAGAAGGTTCAAAACTTAGGTACTTTGTCTGGTAAGAAGGTTCAAAACTTAGGTACTTTGTCTGGTAAGAAGGTTCAAAACTTAGGTACTTTGTCTGGTAAGAAGGTTCAAAACTTAGGTACTTTGTCTGGTAAGAAGGTTCAAAACTTAGGTACTTTGTCTGGTAAGAAGGTTCAAAACTTAGGTACTTTGTCTGGTAAGAAGGTTCAAAACTTAGGTACTTTGTCTGGTAAGAAGGTTCAAAACTTAGGTACTTTGTCTGGTAAGAAGGTTCAAAACTTAGGTACTTTGTCTGGTAAGAAGGTTCAAAACTTAGGTACTTTGTCTGGTAAGAAGGTTCAAAACTTAGTACTATTATTAAATTTACTCTTAAAACTCCTTCCATCAAAGTTCATAAAGTTTCCAAAATAGAAATAGAAATATTTAAGTTCTTTACAACTGCATCAGCAGTCTCCTACAGTTTATTCCGGAGATCTAAAAGGAACTGGCAAGTATTAGTTCGAAGTTCCAATTGAATATTATCATTGAATCACGGCGGGTTAGAGGCATGTATCAATATCTTTGGGTTTATCACAGGACATTATCCTCTTTACACAAAAGGTTTTTCATATATAAAAATTTATAAGACAATTTCTTCCTCTGTATTAATTAACCACTTAGTACAAAAGTGCGAATTTCATCTTCTAATGAAACACAAGTTTTCTGAACGTTTCTTATATAAAAATGAGAAAGTTCATGAAGGGTTTTATTGGAAACAACAATAGGATGGACAGGTTTTACTGTGGTTTGTCGTCTGTTAAGAACATAAACCAAGTTACTCTAAAAGGACTCTTGATTCTCGTTATAGTTTTGGCCAGTCATTTACGTTAGAAAATGTAATAAATTCCTATATGTGAGCTCAGCTTCAGTATAATTCCTGCAACCTATGAGTGATTTAAGCGATCAATCCTCTTCGAAATGTGAACCAGTTCTGGAACTCTTATTGAAGAATTCAAAGTATCAGTAGAATATTAATCATAACTAAGAGTCCCTAAGGTTCTGGAACAGTTCAGAAGTCACTTTCGGAAAGGAACATGAATTAATTGAGGCCATTACCGAGCCAGTTCAACCTGACAGTCACTTGCAACTCACAAAACAAGAGTGGTGGAGTGGCGATGTATGTCAGAGATAATTTAAATTGTTTTATTAGACATGATATAAGATAAGAAACATCGGACACAGAATCTGTTTGGCTACAGTTTCTCGAGGGTCGTGAAAAGTTAATTTTGGGTGTGATATATAGGCCCCCAAACCTTGATAGAGAGTACAGTAGCTGCTATGGGACGAAATTCATAAGGCATCTAGATATGAAAATGTTGTGTTAATGGGTGGTTTTAACTTTATACAAAATTAATTGGAACAATGTGACAATAAATCTTGAGTCTAGTGACTTTCTTTATACGGTTCAGGATTGCTTTTTAAAACAGTTTTTGACAGAACCAACTATAGGAAACAATCTGCTTGACTTGGTTCTTGCCAACAAAGAATCACTAATTAATAATCTTGTGGTTAATGCTGAGCTTGGGGAAAGTGATCACAAATCACTAAGTTTTAATATATCATGGAATTGCCCAAATAATTGCATTAAGTCTCTGTCCCAGACTTCCGCTTGGCCGATTTCATGGCACTGAGAAATTACCTGGATGGGCTAAATTGGGATGACTTGACTATGAGTCAGATTGATGGCGTTGCTTGCCAATATGACTTTTTCAGAGCATAGTCCTAGCTGCCCAGACAACTTTTGTTCCAAGTAGGGAAATTAGATCTAACAAAAATGATCCCAAATGGATGAACAATAGATTAAAGCATCTCATTGGTCAAAAGAGAGGCATATATATGCATATCAAATGAGGGGATGGGCAGTTAAGAAATCAATATATTCAGTTAAGGAAAGAAATGAAAAAAGGAATAAGAAAAGCAAAAAGGGATTATGAGGCTAAGGTCGCAAGGGATTCGAAGACTAACCCAAAAGATTTCTTTCAGGTATACAGAAGTAAGATTAGGGACAAGATTGGCCCACTTAAGAGTAACTCAGGTCAGATCACTGACAGTGATAAGGAAATGCGTGAAAATTTCAATACTTACTTCCTCTCAGTTTTTACCCAGGAAGATACTAGCAAAATTCCAAAAATAATAATTATGTAGAAAAGGACGATAATAAACTATGCACGATTGGGATAACTAATGACATGGTTCTCAGACAAATAAAGAAATTAAAACCTAACAAATCCTCAGACCCTGATGAACTGTTTGCAAGGGTGTTAAAGGAATGTATAGAGGAACTTAGCAAACCTTTGGTTAATCTTTTCAACATATCACTACAAACTGGCATAGTGCCTGATAAGTGGAAAATGGCAAAATAATACCTATTTACAAGGCAGGTGATAGGTCCTTGGCTTCGAACTATAGACCAATAAGCCTTACCTCCATAGTGGGAAAATTTATGGAATAAATAATTGTCGAAGCAATTCGTAGCCGTCTTGATAGGCACAGATTGATTAATGAATCTCAACACGGTTTAACGAAGGGGCGTTCCTGTTTTACGAATTTACTAACTTTTTTCAATAAGGCGTTTGAGGAGGTAGATCATGGTAATGAATATGATATTGTGCATATGGACTTCAGTAAGGCTTTCGATAGAGTTCCACATCAGAGGCTATTGAGGAAACTTAAGGCACACGGAATAGAAGGAGAAATTTTTTCCTGGGTGGAGGCATGGCTGACAAATAGGCAGCAGAGAGTTGCCATAAACGGGGAGAAATCAGAATGGGAGCACGTCACAAGCGGTGTTCCTCAGGGGTCAGTGTTGGGCCCGTTGTTGTTCACAATTTCCATAAACGACATAGATGAGGGAATAAATAGCGACATAAGCAAATTTGCTGATGACACCAAAATAGGCCGTCCAATTCATTTTAATGAGGACATTAGAGCACTCCGGGATGATTTGAATAGACTGATGCAATGGTCAGAGAAGTGGCAGATGCAGTTTAATATAGACAAATGCAAAGTTCTAAATGTTGGAAAGGATAATGACCATGCCACTTATAAACTAAGCAATGTAGATCTTAATACTACTGATTGCAAAAGGGATTTAGGAGTTCTGGTTAGCAGTAACCTGAAACCAAGACAACAGTGCATAAGTGTTCGCAGTATAGCTAACAGAATCCTTGGCTTCATATCAAGAAGCATAAATAATAGAAATCCTCAGGTTGTTCTTCAACTCTGTATATCCTCGGTTAGGCCTTATTTAGATAATGCTGCACAGTTTCGGTCACCGTATTACAAAATGGATATAAATACACTAGAAAACGTACACAGGAGGATAACTAAATTGATCCCATGTATCAGAAATCTTCCCCATTAGGATAGGCTGAGGGCCCTGAATCTGCAATCTCTAGAAAGGCGTAGAATTAGAAGGATATGATTGAGGTGTATAAATGGAAAACAGGAATGAATAAAGAGATGTAAATAGAGTGCTAAAAATATCTAGCGTAGACAGGACTCGCAGCCATGGTTTAAGCTGGAAAAATTCAGATTCAGGAAGGATATAGGAAAGCACTGGTTTGGTAACAGAGTTGTGGATGAGTGGAACAAAGTCCCGAGTACCGTTATAGAAACTAAGACGTGTAATTTTAAAAATAGGTTAGATAAAAATACATGAGTGGGTGTGGGTGAGTGTGAGTTGAACGTGATTAGCTGGTGCTACTGGGTCAGATGCCGTGCTCCTTCCTTAAGTGGTGTCCTGACTGGGTGGGCCATTGGTCTAAACCAGTTGACATGGACCTGCCTCGTATGGGCCAGTAGGCCTGGTGCAGTGTTCCTTCTTTTTTATGTTCTTAACAATATCCTACAAGGAGTGACGTGGCCAAACAATATCCTACAAGGAGTAGCATGACCACACCATAACCTACAAGAAGTAACGTGACCACGCAATATCCTACAAGAAGTGAAATGACCAAACAATATCCTACAAGAAGTAACGTGACCACGCAATAACCTACAAGAAGTGACGTGACCAAACAATATCCTACAAGAAAGGACGTGACCACACTATAACCTACAAGTGACGTGACCACACAATAACCAACAAGAAGTAACGTGATCACACAATAACCTACAAGAAGTGACGTGACCAAACAATACCCTACAAGGAGTTGACTAGTCACCATAGATATGACTGAACGTATTCCATACCTTCTACCATTCTCTGTTTACTTCTTCGTTCTTCCCTCCTCTCCCCCCCCTCCCCGCTTCCTCTCACTCATTATTTCTCATTCCATTTCTCTCAATTTCTCTCTCATTCATTTATCTCTCCACTTCTTTCTCTCTCATTTATTTGTCTCTCATTCCATTCCTCTCTCAGTAAGTCTCTCATCCTTATTCTTCCAGTTAGCCAAGAATTTTCCTTCATGTTCCGCCATGTTCCTTCACATTTCATCATGTTTCTTCATGTTTCGTCACGTTCCGTCACCTCTCGACTTATTCACCAAGTGTCATGTGTCACCTTCGCTCCTGTGGTGCCGCTAGTGCCACGTGTGACCTTTACTCCTGTGGTGCCGCTAGTACCACGTGTCACTTTAACTCCTGTGGTGCCGCTAATGCCACGTGTCACTTTCACTCCTGTGGTGCCGCTAATGCCACGTGTCATGTGTCACCTTCACTCCTGTGGTGCCGCTAGTGTCACATGTCATGTGTCATCTTCACTCCTATGGCGCCGCTAATGCCATGTGTCACCTTCATTCCTGTGGTGCCGCTAGTGCCACGTGTCACTTTAACTCTTCCGTCAACAATATGTCATTTGTTTCAGGTGATGTTTGAAATCCTCTGGTGTCACCTGCTATGTGCTGCGTGTCATATGTGTCACATGTGTCATATGTGTTGCGTCATATATCATTTGTCATATGTGTCATATGTCGCAGGTGTCATATGTGGCATGTGTCATATGTGTTATGTGTCTTTCTTCCTCCGACAGGTTTCCTGATATCTTTTGGCATTCGGTGCAACATGGGCGTAGCTGTTGTAGAGATGACCTCTAACGCCACCGCTACTGGGGTGAGTAACACCTGAGTGTCGTCTGAGTAACTGTGGTGAGCAACTGTGGTAACACCTGAGTAACTGTGTTGAGTAACTGTGGTAACACCTGAGTAACTAAGTAACTATAGTGAGTAACTGTGGAAACTTCTGATTAATTATGGTAAGTAACTGTGGTAACACCTGAGTAACTAAGTAACTGTAGTGAGTAACTGTGGAAACATCTGATTAATTATGGTAAGTAACTGTGGTAACACCTGAGTAACTAAGTAACTATAGTGAGTAACTGTGGAAACATCTGATTAATTATGGTAAGTAACTGTGGTAACACCTGAGTAATTATGGTGAGTAACTGTGGAAACTCCTGAGTAACATCTTGATGACTGGTGAATAACATGTTAGTAACATCTGTGTAAGTGGTGAATAACATATAACATCTGGGTGAGTGTAGTATTATCTATGTAACTGAGGTGAGTAACTCAGCGAGTAACACCTGAGTAAATCTATTATTGTAATTATTATTATAATTATTAAATAATTCATCTTCTTATAATTATTATTATTATTATTATTATTATTATTATTATTATTATTATTATTATTATTATTATTATCATTGTCATCATCATCATTATCATCATTATCATCATCATTATCATCATCATCATCATTATCATTGTTGCGGCCCCCTGCCAAACTAGCGGTTAAATAGTTAACCTGCCGGCCGGCAGTACCACTGGGTACGTCATCAAACCCAATGTGGGGACTGCTGAGCCGGCCTTAGAGCAGTAAGTTCCTGAGTGCCTCACGGTGCACATCTAAGCAGTAGGTACCTGGCCACCTAAGGGTACAGTCTACTGGCTTTAGTAACAGTATGTACCTGAGCGCCTCAGGATACGCACCTAAGCAGTAGGTACCTGCACACCTAAGGGTACACGTCTACTGGCTTCAGCAACATTAAGTACCTGAACTCCTCAGGGTACACATCTACGCAGTAGGTACCTGACCACCTAATCGTACTTATCTACTGGCGTTAGAAGAACCGCTCACCGCAGCTCACTGAGTCTGTTGGCCTCAGTTACTTGACGGCCGCATTCAGTGAGCTTGCAGCATGGTGTTCGGCTAGCGGTGTGTCAACCGGCTTTGGAGAGGATTTACTGGACTACCGGTGATGTCTGTGGACTCACCGTCTACGCTGATCAACTGTGGGCCGGAATCATCAGATGCTGTTTGGTGGGACATTACATGAAGAAAAGGCTGGAGTGTTACACTGAACTGGGCCAGGACCGTAGTGTGACACTTAGGAACGTATGATGGAGTGGAACACTGAGATATGCACAGGACCGTAGTGGAACACTGAGATGAAAAGGGTGTCGTGGGACACTGAAGATGGCCTGGTTGTAGTGTACACTGAATAGTGTCATGTGACTGGTCTCGTGTCGTGAGAAGCAGTTGATTGTAATTTATTATTATACAAATGTTATTTATAATTTATTATTTTAGCATAGAGATATATATATATATTGACACAGTAGTGTCAAGAGTTGTACCCTGTGTAGGGTTATGAATTATTTATTATTTTAGTAAAATGCTGATTATAATTTATTATAGTAACATGTACATATTATATATCATAGTTCAAATACCTCTAGACCAAAGATAGTTGATTAAAGATTAATTTATTTTAATGTGTGTATTTATGTATCCCGAACTCTTTATTACAAAAGGAGTAAATCTTAACATCATCTTCTTTTAAAAATTACTTTTTTTGTAATCATCATCATCATCATCATCATCATCATCATCATCATCATCATCATCATCATCATCATCCCCCTGTGATAGGGGGACGGAGATGATTTAAAACACACATGTTCCTTGTACTGAGTGAACAAATGGCAAAATTTTGTTGAAAATCTTGAGAATATTTACACATCACTAAAACTGGAACTGTGTGTCTCCCTGGCGGTGTGATCGACGACGTCGAGCAGCAGCGGGAGATCGACTGGAGTGACGACATCGTCGGAGTGGTCGACTCTTCATTCTTCTGGGGATACCTGGTGACTCAGATCCCAGGAGGACTTCTGGCCTCACGCTACCCAGCACACAGGTACGTGTGTGTATGTGTGTGTGTACTAGACCCGTGTGTATGTGTGTGTGTGTGTGTGTGTGTACTTGACCTGTGTTTGGGTGTACTCGACCTGTGCGTGTGTGTACCCGACCCACGGGTATGTGTGTGTGTGTACTCGACCCGTGGGTATGTATGTGTACTCGACCTGTGTGTGTGTGTGTGTATTCGACCTGTGGATGTATGTGTGTACTCGACCTGTGTGTGTGTGTGTGTTTACTCGACCTGTGTGTGTGTGTGTGTGTACTCGACCTGTGTGTGTGTGTTTACTCGACCTGTGTGTGTGTGTGTGTGTGTGTGTACTCGACATGTGTGTGTGTGTGTCTGTTTGTACTCGATCTGTGTGTTTGTACTTGACCTGTGTGTACTCACCCACCTAATTATACTCACCAAAATTGTGGTTGCGGGGGTTCGAACTGGGGTTTCCGGGCCCCCCGCCTTTTTCACTGATTCTACAGGTCCCTCTCCCTCTCTATTTTGGGAGCTTTTTGTCATACCTTTCCCTTTAAAATAGGGTATGGTCCCTGCCTTACTACTTCACTAGCTAGGTATTCCATTTCCTGACGACTTTTATGACTGAAAAAATATTTCCCTAACGTCCCTGCGATTTCTTTCCAAGGCCCTTCAGTTTCCCATTTTGTGACCCCTTTGTTTCTGTGTCCCCCTCTGGAAAAATTTCCCACTCTGTCCACCTTGTCAAATTTCCCCCAGTATCTTGTATGTCGTTATCATGTTCCCCTTTAAACCCTTTGTCCTCCAGTTGTCAGTCCAATTTTCCCCCAACCTTTCCTCTACGACATTCCCCTGAAACTCTGGGGCTAGCATTGTTTTCAAAACTTTGTACTTTCTTAAATTTTTGACATCCCTTTAAAGGTGGGGTTTCCCGACTGGGCTTTCATACCCCCATATGGGCCCGATATACGCATGTACGGGCTTGAACATTAGTTATTAAAGGGGATCGGAACGCTATTCCCCAGGTTTGCCAGGCGCCCAAAATTTGCGTATTTTTTTGGTTGATGTGTTTTCCCCCGGAGAGTGCTCAGTGTTATGGTCACCCCAAAAATCTTTCCAATTGAGGAGGTTTGCAGGTTTTTCCACCACCCCATACTCTGTCTGCCCCTTTCCCCAAACTTCATGAATTTGCAAATTTTTGGGAGGGTTAATTCGAAAAAGCAAGTTGCTGGACCCCTGTCAAACCCGTCCAGGTTTTCTTTGTAGTCCTTTTCTGACCTTATTAAATTTTAAACCCCTTTTCATTAGTTCACAAATCGGAACAGGGACACTTCCCGAGGGCTATCCCTTTTCCTTTTATGTCATTCACTTTTTCAAAAAAAGCACGGTTATAGGAAATGCCCCTGGCAACCCCACTTTGTCAAAGGGGCCCACTGTGGGTACCTTTATCACGTACCATGACTGTTTTTTCCCCCCTGTAGGGATTCTTGATCCATTGCAGTGCCCTTCGTGTCATACGCGCCTGATCCTCCAGCTTCTTCACTAATATTTTGTGTGGAACTATGTCGAAGGCCTTCCTGCAGTCCAGGAAATGGCAATCAACCCACCCCTCTCTCTCGTGTCTTACTTCTGTTACCTTGTCATGTGTGTGTACTCACCTAGTAGTACTCACCTAGTTGAGGTTGCAAGGGTCGAGTCCAAGTTCCTGGCCCCGCCTCTTCACTGGTAGCTACTAGGTCACTCTCCCTGAACCGTGAGCTTTATCATACCTCTGCTTAAAGCTATGTATGGATCCTGCCTCCACTACATCGCTTCCCAAACTATTCCACTTCCTGACTACTCTGTGGCTGAATAAATACTTCCTAACATCCCTGTATATCTGGAGTATATCTGGAGAGAGTTCCGGGGGTCAACGCCCCCGCGGCCCGGTCTGTGACCAAGCCTCCTTAGGTCAGTGTCCCAGGATGCGACCCACACCAGTCGACTAACACCCAGGTACCCATTTTACTGATGGGGAACATAGACAACAGGTGGAAAGAAACACGTCCAATGTTTCTACTCTGGCTGGGAATCGAACCCAGGCCCTCACCATCTTTGTCTTCAACTTCCAACAGTGTCCCCTTGTTGCTTTGTCCCAACTCTGGAACATCCTGTCTTTGTTCACCTTGGCAATTCCTCTCAGTATTTTGTATGTCGTTATCATGTCCCCCCTATCTATCCTGTCCTCCAGTGTCGTCAGGTTGATTTCCCTTAACCTCTCCTCGTAGAACATACCTCTTAGCTCTGGGACTAGTCTTGTTGCAAACCTTTGCACTTTCTCTAGTTTCTTTACGTGCTTGGCAAGGTGTGGGTTCCAAACTGGTGCCGCATACTCCAATATGGGCCTAACGTACACGGTGTACAGGGTCCTGAACGATTCCTTATTAAGATGTCGGAATGCTGTTCTGAGGTTTGCTAGGCGCCCATATGCTGCAGCAGTTATTTGGTTGATGTGCGCTTCAGGAGATGTGCCTGGTGTTATACTCACCCCAAGATCTTTTTCCTTGAGTGAGGTTTGTAGTCTCTGGCCCCCTAGACTGTACTCCGTCTGAGGTCTTCTTTGCCCTTCCCCAATCTTCATGACTTTGCACTTGGTGGGATTGAACTCCAGAAGCCAATTGCTGGACCAGGTCTGCAGCCTGTCCAGATCCCTTTGTAGTTCTGCCTGGTCTATGTGTGTGTGTGTGGTGTGGTGTGTGTGTGTGTGTTGTGTGTGTGTGTGTGTGCGTGTGTGTGTGTGTATTTGTGTGTGTGTGTGTGTGTGTGTGTGTGTGTCTATGTGTGTGTGTGTGTGTGTGTGTGTTTGTGTGTGTGTGTGTGTGTTTGTGTGTGTGTGTGTGTGTGTATGTGAGTGTGTGAGCGTGAGTGTGCGTGTGTATGTGCTTGTGTGTGTGTGAGTGTGTGTGTGTGTGTGTGTGTGTGTGTGTGAGGGGTGTGTGTGTGTGAGTGTGTGTGTGTGAGAGTGTGTTTGTGTGTGTGTGTGAGTGTGTGTGTGTGTCTGTGTGTGTGTGTGTGTACTCACCTAATTGTACTCACCTAATTGTGGTTGCAGGGGTCGAGACTCAGCTCCTGGCCCCGCCTCTTCACTGATCGCTACTGGATCCTCTCTCTCTATGCTTCCTGAGCTTTGTCATACCTCTTCTTAAAACTATGTATGGTTCCTGCCTCCACTACTTCACTTGCTAGGCTATTCCACTTGCTGACAACTCTATGACTGAAGAAATACTTTCTAACGTCCCTGTGACTCGTCTGAGTCTTCAGCTTCCAGTTGTGACCCCTTGTCCCTGTGTCCCCTCTCTGGAACATCCTATCTCTGTCCACCTTGTCTATTCCCCGCAGTATCTTGTATGTCGTTATCATGTCTCCCCTGACCCTTCTGTCCTCCAGTGTCGTCAGTCCGATTTCCCTTAACCTTTCCTCGTACGACATTCCCTTGAGCTCTGGGACTAGCCTTGCTGCAAACCTTAGTATTTTCTCTAACTTCTTGACGTGCTTGACCAGTTGTGGGTTCCAGACTGGTGCTGCATATTCCAGTATGGGCCTAACATACACAGTGTACAGTGTCTTGAACGATTCCTTATTAAGGCATCGGAACGCTATTCTCAGGTTTGCCAGGCGCCCGTATGCTGCAGAGGTTATTTGGTTGATGTGTGCCTCCGGTGATGTGCTCGGTGTTATGGTCACCCCAAGGTCTTTCTCCCTGAGTGATGTCTGTAGTCTTTATCCACCTAGCCTATACTCTGTCTGCGGTCTTCTTTGCCCCTCCCCAATCTCATGACTTTGCATTGGCTGGATTGAATTCGAGAAGCCAGTTGCTGGACCACATGTCCAGCCTGTCCAGGTCCTCTTTGCAGTCCTGCCTCATCCTCGTCCGATTTAATTCTTCTCATCAACTTCACGTCATCTGCGAACAGGACACTTCAGAGTCTTATTCCTTCCATCATGTCGTTCACATATATCAAAAATAGCACTGGTCCTAGAACTGACCCCTGTGGGACCCCGCTCGTAACAGGCGCCCACTGTGATACCTCTTCACGTACCATGACTCGTTGCTGCCTCCCCTGTCAGGTATTCCCTTATCCATTGCAGTGCCCTCCTTTTACGTGCGCCTGATCCCCAGCTTCTGCACTAATCTCTTGTGGGGAACTGTGTCAAAGGCCTTCCTGCAGTCTAGGAAAACGCAATCTACCCACCCCTTTCTCTCGTGTCTTACTTCTGTTACCTTGTCATAAAACTCCAGGAGGTTTGTGATAAAAGATTTGCCTTCCATAAACCCCTTTGCTGGTTTTCATTTATAATCTTGTTCCTTTCCAGGTTTTTCGCCCACTTCTCCTCCTGATAATCTTCTCCATGACTTTGCACACAATACATGTCAGAGACACAGGTCTGTAGTTTTAGGGGCCTCGTTTTCTGTTTCCTTTCTTAAATATAGGGACTACATTAGCTGTCTTCCTTTCTCGGTATTGCCCAGTTTCAAGGGATTTTGTTGAAGATTGTGGTTAGAGGCAACGCACAGCATCTCTGCTCCTTCTCTAAGGGCCCATGGGGAGATGTTGTCTGGGCCCATCGCCTTTGAGGTGTCAAGGTCACTTTAAAAGCTTCTTCACCTCCTCCTCAGTTGTTCGTATGTCATCCAACACTTGTTGGTATATTCCCTCTTGAGTTCCCTTCTGTGCTGTCTTCCCACAGCCCTTCCTTCTCTGCTGTAAAAACTTCCTTAAATCTCTTGTTCAGCTCCTCACATACCTCCTGATAAATTTTTTGTGAGTTCTCCACCTTCTGTCCTTAATCTGATCACCTGGTCTTTGACTGTTTCTTCTCCTGATGTGGCTATACAACAGTTTCAGGTCATCTTGATTCTCAATGCCTATGTCATTTTCATACTGTCGCTGGGGCCTCCCTCCTTTTCCTGTGCATACTCATTCCCGGCTCTGTGACTGATCTCCCTATTTTTTGTGTGTTCTCTGCCTTTGTACTTTTTTCCATTCTCT